CGGGTTAAAATTGTAATTTGACCCGAGCTAAAATTTGTAATTCGGTCATATCTAAAAATTAAAATATATTTTGTGAGATATTTGGGTAAGTTGTATTAGGTTATGTATTCAATTCTCACTTGCATAAAAAATAAATAAAATATATTTAATAAAATTATAACTCTTTTTGGTGCTGTCTGCTTAGGAGGTGTTATGTATTTAATATAATTTAAATATATTATAATATGAATTAACTAAAATTAAGAAAAATAAATACACATATAATTTTTTGACCTAGATTCAAACTGGAGCCAGGAGTCACCATTGATATCGACACATCTGAGATCGCTAAATGTTCAGGAGTTCCTCTATTTAATCCCTTTCCTTATTCTTGTTGCTGGATATCTCGTTCGTACACATATTCTCTTTGTTTCTCGAGTGGTTACTGGACTCTCGCCATCTAGGGTGCAGCACTTCACCGCTTCGCCTAGCAGCACGACGCTTGTATAGCTCTCCCACAACCCTAAAATCTAAATTTTAAACCCTAAACCTTAAAGGTTTTCTGGTACGTTCATCACAAAATATTTCTAGATCCCAATAGACTCAATGCCAGATAGATGCCAAAAAGCACAAACCTGAAAACACAATATGTGCTCCGGCCACACCTTCGTAACTCCGAATACCCCGGATTACTTATAGCCCCCCCTGTGATGTTCCAACCGCCCCAGGAATTAGTTATTCCTAAACGTGTTATAAAGGATATAACGAACATACCCTGTCTCCACATTGAGTCAAGAACAAAGTCAGAGGGATCAAAAACTGCTAATTCATATATTGCAGAGCTCTCACCAAAACAAGAAAAAAAAGGTTCAGGGCAATTCTATGCAATTTACAAGTTTAGAGTCTCATGAATCAAACTTTTTTATTTTGAAATTAAATTTTAGTAGGAGGGTACTTTTGTCTCATAAACATTTTTTTGGGTCAAACGTCATGCTCACCTCATGCTGAAATGTATAGAAAGAAAAAAATAGAATTAATTGTGTCAAATTATGGTTTAATATGCTTAATTTGAGTGAGAAATTAATTTAATAACGATGTTTGTTAAATTCTATTATCCCTTTTCTCTACTCTAAAAAACTACCTACTGAGAGGTGAACTCTCTTATTTAAATCTCAAAACATAACTTAACAAGAAATTAGCTAACTAACAAAAGGACAAACCTACATAATAGAAAGTTAAGCATATGCTATTCAATTATTGATAAATATTCGTAATAGAATGATATACATAAAACATACGCTACTCTAAATAACAACATTATTTTTATTTTTTAAATATTCTAATCGGTTCATTGCTTTGTGACTATTCTGATTCGAGACAGATCCAGGATTAAGACTTTAAACCCCTTCCAAAGGTGATATTAAAAAGAATTGAACACATGCTCTCACCACAGCTGCTCAGATCCTATGCGCTAACTGAGTTATCATTAGTTGTTAATAACAACATTATTCTATCTTCCCCTACTAACTCCCAGTTTAATTCTTCTCCACTAAATCTTTGGCTGTATCAAGGCACTTATAGTGATATTTCAACACTGCTTAAGCATTCTTTCTCAGCCATCCTCGTACTGTGTTGAGTACTATAAGTTACTATCTCATGGAAAGTGTTATAGGTATGACAGAATAAAAGGCCATGAAAATTGTAATGCTACTAATTACTTAAATATTTTGCGGCCAAACTATGATGATCAAAATATATGTGTGATTTGAAGAGGGGTTGTGTTGGGCGCAACATGGATCCTTGGTACATCCAAGGATCCCTCTCTTTTTTCAATATCCAAGAGGTGTGTGCCCTTCTATAAGTGATTATCTTACTGTTATATCCAATACCTTAGCTTGCCAACGTGTTGGTCCAATCCTACTGAAGAAACAAAACAAACAAAAAGGTTCACAACTTGGTTTTTAAGACTTATTTTTAGCAAGTTTTGAACCAGTGCAGAAATTGTAGAGTGAAAAGGAGAAGAGCTTGACACAATAAATTTATAATAGTTCAGTTAAAATCGTGGCTTCGTCCAGTCCACAGCCTCAACTATTGATGTTTTGTTGTAATTGAGAGTTATTTCTCCCAAATTAGCTTCCCTAACATGAAATTCAAATATATTCTTTATTTCACACAAGCCTCTTAATGCCAAAGCGCAATAACATTAGCTAGCACAACATTCTAGCTTAATAGCACAACAGTTGGAGTCGGTTGTTTTTATCAATTTTTAATCTAACAACTTAATAATCATTCATATACACACAGTATATTTTATTAATTCTTTAGTAAAAGGAGAAAGAACAATTCGCTCTGTGCTCACCATAGAGCTCCGTGCCACATTTTACTAATTCTATGGATACTTATAAATGTTCCACTTTTATTTGTCATTTTTTCAGTTTTATTTTCTCGCTATTGTTAATGCTTTTGTCCTTGCAGCTCAATATGTGGTCTTCAAGCATTTTATTCCACTAGTCATGATCTTTTCCCTGGAAAACTTTTCACTAACAGAGGTAGCAAAATCAACAATGGTTATATATGGATGGTAAAGACACTTTCAAACTTTCTTCTCGGGATACCTACAAAGGGTCTTGGGTTATGAATTTCAAACATGGGAATGGGAAATTGGGAATTATGGGACTAAGAGCTATCCCGTGGATGGAAGGCTTATTAATTACAGCTCCGAAGATTGTTATTATATGTTTGATGACTTGGGGGATAATTGCTCCCAAGAGATAATGAGGAGCCAAATCTAAAGGGCATAAGAACTATGAGCTTATGTTGAATCTGCAGCTAGGTATCAATCAGGTACTGATCATCATTGTTGTTTCCATGTAACTTACTCTCATCTTTATGGTCCATCTGAGCTTTTCCTTCTCCCATCTATTTCAAAATGTAAATATTTTTTTTCTTTATTTGTATTTGATTGAATAAGAATTTAGATTGAGCACAAATATTTCTGCCATTGTATGGTTTAATGATGAATATGTCTTTCTAGCAAATAAAACGGCTTTTTCAGCCTTCTTGTGCATAATTCACGGCTTTTTTATTCTTCGGATGCATAATCCAAGTCAAATAAATGTGAAAAACTATTTACCAATCTAATTAGAGTGTGAAACGTATACGTGGAGTGTGTGTATTTAAGTGCATTACCCCCATACGCGTCTTATGCAAAAGTCAAAATGCATCTACCACATGCCATGCTCTATAAGATAAACATGAGGTGCATACGCGACTTAAATGTTTAGTGTCAGGATGCGCATCTTACATTGCATTGATTTTTCTGAAGTCACGCACGAAGGTGATACATTACTTAATTGTGCCCGCTCTCAATAGTATGTTAAAGAATTACACCGCTAAAATATTTGTGTTTTTGCATTAAAATGGTAAAAAAAGCCAAATAAAACAGAAAATTGGATTAAATAACAACCTCGCCACGGCACGGCACACCACACCACAAACAGATAAATTCAAGCATGCCATAACGAATAATTAGAAAAAAAAAAAAAAAAAAAGAAACAAACTCAGCACGGCAGACTTGACACCACTTTTACAACCTTGAGCAATTTCAAAAAGTGTTACTTCTCAAATTAGTGAGTTTACTACGCTTGTAGATGACCTTGCGAAGGAAGAGGATGTTTTACCCGAAAGGTTTGTTTTTCTTTCACTGTAGTAGTAAATTACTTGATTCTTAGATGGACTGAAATGTTGCTTTTATGATGCAAAAGAGAAAGGTCATGACTCTGCGAGAAACAATTCCGCATATTATTCACAGTTGGGCTTCTTCAGTAAGGTCAAATTTTTTTTTTTGTGAGTTGGGCTTTAATATGATCTTTATTATTCACAGTTGCTCCAGCACAATATGAACTGCACCAAAATTCAAAGGCATTGACCCAAAAACTTAAAAGGGGCTTAGTTAGCTTTAAAACTAAGGATTTTATATTAAATGCTTAATATGATGTATTCTAATTCAACCACTTGTCTTATGGTGAAAGATCCCTTAGGACTACCGACCAGATTCTGGGTCCTTTGTATTTTGGAAGGAAACTGTGTGAGGTAAAAAGAACCATCATGGTTGGTGGTGGTGGTACCTCTCTTTCTTATCACTCCAGCTATTGACTACCACCGACTCAATTGCACGTTCTCATTTTAATATTATCATAACTTTAATTAGTCCCATAACTTAACATGTCTATGGCCAGATATTTCTTGGCTGTAAATCTGACATAAAATTTTGAACTTAATATCACATACAAATAATTAGCAACTTAAGCAATGCGGTTAGGTTTTGAATAGATTTTTATTTACTAAATGAAGAAAAGAAAAACTTCTTACTTAAGAAACCATACAACTTAAATTCAAGTTCCAATAACTAATTGTGTATTACTGTCATATTTTTGTCTTGTGTAATATCATCATATTGTGAATGTGAAAGAAGGTTTTTCTTTTCTCTTATGCAAATACCATATCATTAATTGCGCGTGTGCCTCGTTTTTGGATTTTTAAGTTTTTTTTTTTTTTTAATAATCAAATTTGAGAATCGAAAGTTGTTCTACTCGAATCTTAATTTTAACTTCAGCTTCTTTTTTTATGCATGTGACATCATTTAAAGATTTTAATGATATAAAAGATAAGGTAAGATTTCTCTAATTTTGTTTTGATTAACAGCTCACATGAGTCACATAACTATAGACAAATTAATGTATTTTAATTATCTACCAAAAAAAAATGTATTTTAAGTCAACCACTGATCCCAAGAATATATTCTAATTATAAACGAAAATGCCAAAAAAGAAAAAGATAAAAATACTTGTCAATTTTGTTTATATTGAAAAGGGATTTCAAAATTTAACTTGTTATGCATATCTGGTCGTTATCTATTGGACGTTGGAGAACGTATTTCTCAACAAGGTGGTGCTATTGAAAGATTCCAAAAATAAAAAAATTGCATATTGAAATTCATCTCTTAGCAATCAACATCCTAAATATCCAACCTTAATTCTCATCTCTCTCTCTCACTACTTCACTCTGTTTCAGTGTTTCTCTCCCAGCAATTTCTAATCAAACCGTGATTTCTGTTACTTTGGCGTGTGCATTGTCTCTTCTCTCTTCGCAACTAGCACTAGTGCACACGGTTTTGTTGGACTCACCCACCAGCACAAACCCTTTTGCAGCCACACATAGAGGGTCAAAGGCAAAGCTTTCTTTTTATCTTTCTTTTCTTTCCAAAGCTAAAAAAGAAAAAGAGAATTTTTTTTTTCACCCCATTATAGAAAGCACTAATTTTTACAAAGAATTGGGGTTGAATTTCTGGAAGAAGATGGGTGCAGGCGATTACTACAAGATCCTCAAGGTGAATCGTAATGCCACGGATGAGGAATTGAAGAAGGCATATAAGAGGTTGGCCATGAAGTGGCACCCAGATAAGAACCATCAACAACACCCAGTTAAGAAAGAAGAAGCTGAGGCCAAGTTCAAACAGATTTCAGAGGCTTATGATGTCCTCAGCGACCCCAAGAAGCGCCAGATCTATGATTTCTATGGCCACTACCCCCTTAACTCTATGAAGGTGAAGAAGGAAAATAGTGATGGGGATGTTAGTATTCTCAAGGATGAGAAATTAGGGGTGGTTGAGAGCAAATTGGTGTGTACCCTTGAGGAACTTTACAAAGGATGCAGAAGGAAGTTGAAGATCTCAAGGGCTGTTCCTGATGAATTTGGGTAATCAGTATCTTCCTTTTATTGTTCTTTCCTTAATCCATGCATTACTTATAGAGTTAAAGTGTAATTTTTTTTTTTTTTTGTGGTTTTAGTTCTGGGCTTATGACTATGTTTGGTTGTAGATTTTTTCATGTTTGCCTTAGAAATGTGTTAGTGTTGGTTATGTGCTATTGATGTTAGCAGTGTCTTAGAGAACCGGGTAACAGAAATTCTAATAATTCTGAAGCTAATGCTACTTCTTTTCTTGTATGTCTAAAACTTTAATGAAAACAAGTTTTGCTGCTGTTAATTAGAACAACACTACACTTGAATGGTTGAATTCTTACCCAAACTTTTGGCTCTTGAATCTTCTCCTTAGAGGAAAGGATCCTTGGTTCAATTTCCAATAAATTTGACTGTGTATTATATTGTAAATTCTTGTATAGTTTACACTTTACTTGATACAATGGTGCTGCCTTGGCAATCATCTCATTTCATTTATTAGCATTATTTTACTCTTGTTTGGCTGTTACACTCTGCTGTTTTGGCTGTTTTCTCTTTTGGCTTTTCACTGACCAGGCCTGATTACGCACACCTGTGCAGGCATGCATGCTTAGATGCATACAAGTGTACCCACATGTGGAGAAAGGGGAGATCTTTTGTTGATAATTTTTATTTTTTGGGATTTGCGTCGGTCCCCCTGATGATTATTCCGGTTATATAAGAATAAAATAAAACTATTAGCTAGTAAGTTTAAGTTGTATAAAATATTTTGTTTTATTTTTTGTTTTTTGTAAGGATCTCAAGTTTCAGGTTTGTTTACTGGTTAACTTGGCTATATGAATCAAAATTATATCAACATGAAAGTAGGAGCACAAAATGTACTCTTTTCGATTCCCTTTCCTTTTGTCATTTCAAATTATATCAGATAGCTTTTGGTGTTTTTTTGTAGCAAGTTGAAGTCTGTGGATGAAATACTGAAGGTAGATATCGAACCTGGATGGAAGAAGGGCACAAAAATAACTTTTCCCGGGAAAGGCAACCAAGAAGCAGGAACTAGTCCTTCTGATCTGATCTTTGTGGTGGATGAGAAACCACATGCTTTTTTCAAAAGGGATGGAAATGATTTGGTAGTCACTCAGAAAATCTTACTTCAAGAGGCTCTCATAGGAAAGACTCTCCACTTGACAACCTTGGATGGAAGAGACCTCACAATTCAAGTGACAGATGTTGTGAAACCTGGCTATGTGTTGGCGGTACCAAATGAAGGAATGCCCATTTCAAAGGAACCTGGCAAGAAAGGAAACTTAAGAATCAAGTTTGATGTCATGTTCCCATCAAGGCTTACCACACAACAGAAGTATGAGCTGAAAAGGATTCTGAGCAATTCTGATATCTAATTCAATCTTTTAGTCTAATGGCTATCTTTCCATTAACACTGGCTGACATGAGAGGTCAGATTAAAATGTAAATATTTAATTTCACTTTTAGATATGGAATTTGTGCATAATACAAATAAAGCAAGCATATAGCTACCATATTTGCGGTGTGGTGTAGCTTTGGAAACAAGTATTTTCAACTGCAAAAAGGGTCTTGGATCTTGTTTTATCAATGTTATAATACATTGTTAATATTTGTAGTCCGCGTTTCTAGAAGAATGACTAATTTCAGTTAAAAATGAGGCTTCTTGTTCATTTGGGATATATGCTTAGCATGAAAATGACTTGTCTGGAGATATTTCCTGATAATCCAGAATGTCCATTCGTTTGGTCCCATTCTTTCTCTTTCTATTTTTGCCTTTCATTTTATAAAAATTTCTATTCAACTGTTAATTTTAATTTATTTATTTTTTCAATTTTGTAAGAGAGAACTGTCTTGTTTGGCTAATATTACTGATACGTGTTGTCTTGTTGATGTTGATGAGCATTGTCAAATATCACAAATAATCCAATGGATGTGAAAGTTTACATTTATAGAGGATTCAGATGCATCGATGCCCTTTTATGTCATTTTTCGTGGTTCAAAATGAGCACCGACACATGACAAATAGGACTACATATTACATTATAATTGTAAGCATTAAACAATGACACTTTTTTTTGGGTTGAAAATAATTGCACCAACTTATTTAGCTTCCAATGAGTTGATTTGTCCTCATTCCCTTGTAATGGACAAGGTAGAATATGTTGAATATAGCCTTGCTGATTTTAGCACAGTGCATGATCACACATTTATTTTCTGTGCTGCTCAATCAACCTTTGTAGCTCCTCCTTTCTTACTCCCACCACTTTATCAGCAACTTTGCCTCTCTTAATCAGTATGAAAGTTGGCATTGCCTGCACCTGGAATTCTTGAGATACCTCCTGTTTATACAGTGAAAGAATAAAATTTATATAATGCATGCCTATTTAAAATTAAGAACAAATGAGTTAAAAGTGAAAGGGAATGAGTGATATACCATTAACTCATCCACATCAATCTTGACGAACTCAACGTCTGTGTATTTTGCAGCAAACTCTTGGATAATTGGGTCCATGAGTTTGCAAGGTCCACACCAAGAAGCAGTGAAATCAATAACCATCTATAACAAAGAAAGATGATCTCAGTAAAACCAAGAATTTTACCATTTGATTATGATACTAATTAATTAAAGATATAGTTACCAAACATACCAGCTTATCAGTTTCTTTGAATGCATCATAGTGAGCATTCCATTTAGCAGTGGAATGGAAAGTAAGGACATGAGGTGACTCTGATGAACTATCACCATACATCACACCAAATAAGTTAGATCCCATGTTGGTTCCTTCTTCTGTGAATGATAAACCAAAATTGATTTATGAGCCCGTATGAATCAGAACTTAGTTGAAAGGAGATGAAGTTCTCAGTAGGTTTGGATGATGGCAAACTGGAGGGAAAGCCTTATAAATAGGACTAACAAAGTAGTGGGAAACTATTATATGATTTCTTTTCAAACGTATCAGATTCTTGTAAGTGGCAAGCTGTAAAATGGACCCTCAAAACTAATCTAGAGACATTTAAGAGCATTTGAGAGCATAAGTACTTACTTCAGCAAGGTTTTTCCTTCTTTTGGACAAAAGTATAAGTGTATAACTTGTCTACAATAAGGTTTCCAAAGTTCCAATCCTCGTATTCTAGTAATTAGCTCATTATAAACAGTAGTTATACTTCATATGTAATTAATATGAGTATATATATATATATATATATATATATATATATATATATATATATATATATATATATATATTCAGTAAGAAAATAATATACCAATATTTCTGATTGGAATATGCAGAGCAAGGTGGAGTTCCGTAAGAGGGAGGGAAAACTTGTTGTAGTAGTTTCTTCTACCTTTGAGTGCTTTCTAAGTTTTTTTTTTTTTTGTTGTTGTTGTTGTTGTTTTGTTTATTTGACTTGCTTTTTAATATATGTTTCTCTTCAGATGGTTTATCTCTCATTTTATTCCTTTTTTTTTCTTCTTCTTCTTTTCATTCTATCCCATATGTGGTAGTATCACTCCTGGTTAACACATTCTTAAAACATATGACAAAAGTTTATTCACATGTGATTAATATGTTTCAAAATTCTTCCTTAAAAAAAATTTGAAATATTTTCTTTCAATGGATTTTTTACCCTGTAATTTTTCTCTTTTAATTTAACGTAAAAATTTGAGGACACATGTTAAATGAGGACACATCAAACTTGATATTGATTGAAATAATAGAATAATTTCTATATTTGCAGACAGAAGGGAAGGTTCAGATTGAATTCTTGTAGAATCTGAGCCCTCTATCATGAGTTTGTGATCTTTTTTGTTAAACCAAACCTGTGAGCTGTTACACAATTGGTTGGATTCAGCTCAGAGGGAGCATCTACTTTATGACCACACGGTCTCAGTTTCACGCGGTGAAAGAATACTAATTATAAGAGAAAGACAAAACAAAACAAGTACAAAAAGAAACTATGGACCCAAATCTTTCTATCTCCACAACTTCAGCAAACAAAGGAACTGCCAGTGTTACCATTTTTATATAATAAAAGGGAAAATTGTTTATGCAGTTACTGCATATAAGTTATCTGTATTTATTTACAAAGAAACCTCGTTTTGGAATTAAAATCTTAAAAAATTATAATTTATAAAGACTATTATAACCCTGAAATAAATTAAATTTACAAAAACATCATGATTTCCGCTCCAAAACGACGTTGTATTGAACTTACTGCAGATAACTTATCTGCAGTAACTGCAGAAAAAGTGAACTCATAATAAAATGTCCCAATTAATTAAGGGTTTATTTTTTCTAAAGTTACTTTAGATAACTTTATCTAATGTTCATCGAAACGACGTCGTTTTGAGGCAGAAATCATGGTGTTTTTGTAATTTTAATTTATTTCAGGATTATAATAGTCTTTATCATTCTAATTTTTTAATTTTTCAATCTCAAAACAACGTCGTTTCGATGAACATTAGATAAAATTGTCTAAAGTAACGTTAGATATTTTTTTCCCATTAATTAATTCCAACGGGTGCCGCTAGGATATAAATAGGTTAAGTTAAGTTTTGGCTAGTTTAGACTTGTATAAAATATTTAAGCTTGATCTGACTTGTTAGTCTTCTGAAGGCCTAACTTATAAATCTAACCTGCCTTATATTTAAAAAATAAAAGCATTGGCCTCGACCTTTTAACATGTTTAAGCCTATTAAATATGTAATAATTAAAAAAATTAAATAATATTACTTTATTATTAAAAATTATTAAAATATTAATTTTATTTGTTTTATTTAAATAAATAATATAGTAGACCCGACATGTAAAAAACATCTACGATCTACTTTTTAAATAGATTTTTTAAAAAGCCTAAGCTTGCTATATTTGACTATATATAATTGGCTAAGTCTAACCTGATATAGGTTAGGCCATAGAACCATATAGTCGGTTTAACCCATTTACACTCCTAGGTGGCACACTTAGAGATATACAAAAAAAACAAAAATTGAATTGAATTACAGTAGAAAAAAATAAAAACTGATTTTCAAAAACCAGTTCTTGAATTGAACTATTTTTGAAGAATCAGTTCATAAATTGAACTAGTTTAAGAACTGAAGTGGTTTTCAAAACCAATTTTAGGAACCAAACTTGTTTATAAAACAATGAACCAAATTGATTTTTTTTTATATATCTTTTTCTTTCTCTATTTTTTTCTTTTTTATTTTGTTCATTCTTTTATTTTTATTTTTATTACTTTATGTCTTTAGTTTTTTATATTTATAATTATTTTCTCTCTCTCTTATTTTTACTTTTTTTATTTTTATTTTTAATTGTTTTTTTTTCAAATTTGTGGTATTATTTTTAACTATTTTAATTTTTTACTGAATATTTTCATATTTTTTATTTGGGTTTAGAACTAATTCAAACTCCAGTTCTATGAATGTGCAAAAGAATCACAAAAAATACTACACTTAATTTTTGTTTTTTTAAAAATCAATTCTTGAACTGATTTGACTTAAAAACTAGTTCTTGAACTGAAAATCAATTCATGAACCGAACCAATTTTTTTTCTTTTTCCCTCTCTATTTCTCTTTTCTAATTTATTTATTTATTTAGAGTAAATACTCGTTTGGGTCCTCAACAAAAAACACAAAATTCATTTTAAACCTTTAGGGAAAAAAGTCAATTTATGGTCCCTTTAGAATTTAATATCTTTGAAATTGTGGTCCCTTATAAATTCAAAGAAGACCTACATTAGTCCCTAAAAAAAGACTAATATAGATACTTTTTTCTAAGGAATTAAAATGGGTTCCGTATTTTTTGTCGAGGACCCAAAATGGTATTTACTCATTTATTTATTATCTTTTTTTTATTTCTTTAATTATTTAGTTTTTTTTTTGTTTTTTTATAATTTTCAGTATCATTTATATATATATATATATATAAAATAATTTTTAATTTTTTTTCCTTCAATCTTTTGTAATTTTTATTTGGATTAAGAATTGATTTTAAAAACCAATTATGAACAAATTTAAAACCAATTCAAAACTGATTCTGAATTGAAATGAAACGAACCAATAAACAAATTTAATTCTCAGAATTGAATTAATTTTTCCAATTCTGTTCGGTTTAATAAAAAAAATCGAACAGAATCGAACCATGCACACCCTTAGGCACAATTGTTAGCAAAGTGTGTCCCAAGAATTAGATCTTGAGTTCGATCATTGGCAAAGCTCTTTGTGGTTAGAGGCGAAGCCTTTGCGTTTTAAGCCTCAATAGGGTATTAGTCTCATCTTCTCTCCGACGACAATTGTCCAACACACCCTCTGCTCCAATGAGGAGCTAGCTATAGAGCTATACTCTGAGGGTAAGGTGATTGGAGGGAGTTGAATGGATATCTCCTGGTTATACAAAAAAAATAAAAAAATATCCTTATTAATTCCTATATACTATTACGTAAAGGCAAAAACACGCGTTCACTCACCCTAGTATATATATATATATAGGGAAAACATTTTCTCCTTTTAAAGGAGAAAATTTTTCTCCTACCAAAGACACATAGTATAAGTGGGACCTACAAAATAGTGAAGAGAGAAAAAAATTCAAAGTGGGGCCCACTTATGTTATGAGTCTTTGGTAGGAGAAAAATTTTCTCCTTTAAAAGGAGAAAATATTTTCCCATATATATATATATGGATAGGATTATTTTACACTAGTATAAGTTATACTTTAAATCTTGTCCGTTAATCTCATTTATATCTAAGGGTTTAAATTTTTTAATAATATGAGCAATTGGTTGGATACAAGTGGATCAATGGTCAAGATTGAATGTAAGACTTCTAACTCTTACACCGGTGTAAGAATATCCTACCCCTATATATATATATATATATATATATATATATATATATGGGCAGGATATTCTTACATAAGCGTAAGAATTAGAAGTTTTACACTAAATCTTGAGCCTTGATCTACTTGTATGCAATGACTCACATTACCAAAAAATTAGAGCCATTAGATATAAGTGAGTTCAATGGTCAAGATTAAAAATGTAACTTACGCTGGTGTAAAAGGATCTTGACCCTATATATATATATATATATATATATATATATATATATATATATATATATATATATATATAAGGTTTAGTATTCTTATGTTATATAAGAAAGAATCTATCTTCAACATGCATAAATTTAAAATGGGTCTCACTCAACTTTTTTTTTCTCCCCTGAAAGTGGATCCCACCTGCATACATAAGTCTGTAGGAGATAATAGTTATCTCTTGCTGACTGCATAAAAAAACTACTAACTTATTTATATATATATATATATATATATATATATGAGAAAAATATTTCTCCATACCAAAAAAATAAATATATTTCTCAAGTCACTTGATATATATTTATCTCCGGTCAGCCCAAAACTACGTCATTTTGTTTATTTATTTCCTTATAATAATTGATTTACCTTTGAATGGTTACGATTCCATTTTTCTCTCTATTCTTTTATCACCATTGGTCCATCTTTATGCTGATTTAGTGGTCGAAGATAAAGTTATCTCAAGTGACTTGAGAAACGATAAGCTCTATATATGTATATATATATATATGTATATATAATGACTTGAGAAACGATAAGCTTTGTATATATATATATATATATATATATATATATATATATATATATATATATATATATATATGAGGTAAGATCCTTTGACACCAGTGTCAAATTTGAAATTTGACACCTCATCTGAGAGTCATTAGATCAAAAAAGATCAATGGTGTCACATGCTTACAAATCAGAGTCGTTGATATTTTTTGATCTAATGACTTTTAGATGATGTGTCAAATTTCAA